CTTTTGAACAAAAAATCAAGGTTTTGGCTAGGTGAAAACGAGTGTTGGGGTTTTTTGGCGCCTGAATGAAGTAACGACTAGCTTAAATTTATTAAACTGAAGATATTAACTGCACGAAGCTCTTTGGCAGTAAGCATGACTCCATTCTCAGTTCATAGACTACACTTCTGAATGATTTTGTTGCAGCTGAGCCTTGAAATTTTAGAAAAAATTTCCATAACCCCTCTCAGGAGCGCTTTGCAGACAATGAAACCAGATTCAAAATTATCGTTCCATGCTCTGTAAGACTGTATAATTTCCTATGAAGAAGCCACTTCGACCAAGTATCCTTCCCTTGTAAGACCAGGTCCAAGCGAGTTATCGGAAAGGGTCGTAATCGAGGGGCATGGACGGATTCATTTTCTATAAAGGAAAAGTGCTAAGAATGAGGAAAGTGCGAAGGAAAACGCAAATTGGTTTTATGTTTTCGCCGTATAAATAAGAATTTCTTTGCAATGGACAAATGGACGAACAATAAACAAGACGCGCCAAATAACGATATTAGGCAAAGTTCCAAAACCCGAAGCTTTCTTCACCGTACGTCGACGTAAGTTCACGAAATAGATTCTACCATATAAGATGGGCAATTCCATTAAATGCATGTCAAATCGACTTGGTGCAGAACAATCAGTGGAAATGCAATTTTAAGCTCTTATTAACGCCAGCTTCATTTCAAGACTTGGACTTTGTTATAAAATTAAAGCCAAGCTCTTAACGCTTCAACAAATCTGTTTTTCTTAATCTGTGCTTGAATTTATGTTTAACATAGCCCTCAAAAAGTGGTTTGGAGCTCTACAAAGTTTTTTTTGAAATCGAATGCATTCTACTGACTATTACAGAGCGAAATCAGCAACCTCACCCCAAAGGCGACGTTCCCGCAAATGAGGTGTGTCGGGCTTTTGTAGCGACGCTGCATCAGATCACTACATAAGCGATGTTTGAAGTCGAAAAGAGGGTCTACTGAGCCATAAAAGCCGTTGCCCCGAAAGTGGCCCGGGTCGGGTAGGCTCGGACGCCGTTTTTTCGAATTGCAAGGCTAGAGCGCGTATAGTGCACACAGTCAAGACCGATAGTTCCACCGACCCTGCATCTTAACCTTGACGGCAGGCATTCAATCCAAAATCAAGGGCTTTTAGAATAGCTCATTTGCGAATTTTTTGTATCAAAGCTACATGTTCGTAATCAGCGGCAAAGAAACCAAGGTAAACGAAAAAAAAGTGCATAAATTTTGCTCAGACGTTGCTTTTGAACTCTCAGACAACTTAAGAAATTTCTGTGATGTATTTGATTTAGTCAGATGTTAATATTTTAAAAAGCCAATCTGTCTCAGTATTTGTGGCATTGTGCGCAATTTCGATATTGACTTGGCTGATGAGAATCAAAATGTATCAATTCTGAGCTCTTGAAAAAAAAGAAAAAATGAATATCTGAGTTGTTATATAAGGCTCATTTTTTTCGTATTCAAAGGGCTTAACCTCAAACTTGATTCTGACCGCGGCTGACTAGAACTCAAAAATTTCTAGATACATCATGAGCAAGCTTTCACACGAGAAAGACGTTCAAACGCGTCGATTGAAGTGTTTGAACACAACCTTGCTTGACTCGCAATATAATCAAATTATTTCGCATTAGTAGTACACAAGTGGTAAAATTATAATACAATAGCACATCTATCAAGTGAATCAAGTATTGGTTGTCCGGAAATTAATTTTCGTTCCGAATTTAAACCGCTCTAAGTCAAGCACTAGATAGGCTGCAATATATATTCGATAGAGCAAAGCAGGCTCTAGAAAATGGCAATCTTGCTTTTGCACCAACTTCAATTCATTTCAAATTTCAGGCCAAAAAGTAAAAAGATTCAACACTCGGAAAATCGAGAAAATTTGTAACTTAGTTTATGAAAAAACCTACAAAAGTTCTAACTTGCTCACATAAACACTGTTCACAAAAGACATTTATCTAGGCCAATGCCGTAATTTTTCATCGGTAAGGAATCAAAAAAGCGCAAATTTTCATGTTTTTGCCGAAGTGATGCTGTGCTGTCTCCACACAAGTTGTACACAAGAAACCTATAGAAGTATAAATGTAAATTTTCAGCTCCTTACAAGCTTTAATTCTCGAAAAATAGCGATTATAACTTTCTTTTCCTGATCTACATTAAAATCTGGATTTTCCAAAAACTAGAACTTGTCTTTGCTCTATCGAATTGAATTGCGACCTATCTAAAAATGTGAAGAGTATGACTTATTTTGTTTGAAATTCAAAACGGACATTAATTTCCGGACAACCTAATACAATAAAGTTTTAAAAGTAGCCTTTGATGTGGGTGAAATTTGCCGGCAGTCTCTCATCCTATTCGTTGATCATCTGTGGATGAAGAAAGCACGATATAGTAATGCCTTAGCGGTGAGAAATTAGTTACTCGTTTAGCAGCATGCAAAGAAGACTCGAAAAGTAACGAGCAGATGGGTAATAGCAAGAGGATGCTTGCTTGAGACACAACTTGAGACGCCAAACCGCACGTCTGAGATAACTCTCCAGCGAACCGCCTCATGCTCTTGACTAAAAAGCTGAGACAGTCTCCAACCAAGACTGTACGCTCTTTGAATCAGTTTGTAGGAACGAAGGAAATGCGACAGTGTTAAAAGGACCGTCATTATCCGCGGTGGGAAAGTTCCAGAAGCTTTGGAAGAGTTGGCCCTGTTCACTCAGTTATGGTCCAACTTCTCAGTCCGTATGAGAACCTTTCACCTTTACTATCCCACACAACGTTCTACAGATCAGATGTAAGCATCACCCACTGCTATTTTCCAAAATCTGAATAAGCTGATGAATTAAAAATGCATGATTTCTATAAAGACGTGCGGTTGTCATAAAAAATTCCTTTTACCATTGGGAAGTTTAGCTGTCGGCTTCACGGAAAACTGCAATTACGTTAGATCTTCTTCGCAGGAATTTTTCATGAGAACTCCATTTTCGTGAAGAAAGCAACGACTGTGGGACATCGGTATTGCCGAAGGAACGACACACGCGAAGACTGACCGCTCCCTCACCCAGAAACTGGGGGCTTACTTGACTCTCACTGCGACCGGTTTTCAAAAGCTTTGCGATCCTGTGAGTGCGCCAAAGAATGACAATAGATTTCGGAGAGGTTAGGAGAGATTTTTGGAATAGAAAGCAAAGAATTTATTTAGAGTTAGTTCAATCTGCTTAGAAGTTTACGACCGTGTGCATCCGCACGTATGCATGCCCTGACCACCTTTTAGCACTTTCGCGCATATCATACTTTATCTGTGAGCGAAAAGTTCTCAGGTAACTTCTATGCAGTGATAACACTGATGGCCTGTTTGTCATATAGAACACACGTCATTGCGGTAGCTATTGAACAGTCTAAACCGCAGCCGTAGATCATCATTCCATTCTGATGTGGTTAAAAATGGCTCGGTCGTTAACGTGTTATTAACAAGATCTGAAATCTGCAATGAAATCCTCAATATTGAGTTTTTTGTTTCCCTCTTTTTGCTTGAACACAGTTTGTGGCAATCGAAGTCCTTGGCACTGCATAAGTTTGCCTGATTTGATGAGCTCTTGACAACTTTGATTCAAGATAACTTTTTTCAAACGTTCTTTTCGAGAGCAGTACAAGCCTTGCTCGTTCAAGAAGTTGGTTGCAAAACTTGCATCATTTGTTCGAAGTTTTGGATCCCTTTCGAGCTGTCCTGAAATTGTCGCTCATAAATTTATTTCGGACTCGCTCTTTCATACTTAACTCTATGACTTAATCATCACAGTTAAGATATCACAATTTGTGTATTTTTGAATACTTTGATTGAGTGCATGCATAATTCATACAAAACGATCGATGATATTTCAAATATTTTATACGGGACTTTTGCATCAACTTACTTCATATAATCTTTTGTTGGTTAAAATGCAAAGATTTTACATTTTTTACACAGTACATTATTGTAACCGTGTGAAGGCGAAATAGTTCTAACGAATTTAGAACACACCGCAGTTTTCTGTTGTAGCAGATGCTAAGGCAAAGCTTGGTGTAATTCAAAAGAACCTTACAGAAAATAAGAAAGAAAAATTGACAACGGAAAATTTTGCGTATTATTTGCCTCACAAACACAATGATTTTTTATACTAACTTTCTTGAAGTGATGCAATCTATCGAAAGAACAAAAATCATAAGGGGAATTGTTTTCTAACTACGATTTTGGAATTGAGGCATTTTAAAGAAGTCGTATCAATGATTAATCTGCGCTTGCTTAGCTCAGCTGCTGAAAAGAGTTGGGAAAAAAGAAGCATAGTGGTGAACGCAAAATTGCAACCAAGAAAAGAAGAAAACAACATTGCATGAATTAATCTGCTCCTTCAAGTGCCTATTCTTAAGCTTCATACGTATTTGAGTTGGTTTTGAAAATATGTTGTGCTGATAAAAACCCACGTAATTTCAGTAAGGGTGCGTGACTTTCGTCAGCTGGCGGATATCCAATGCGTCAATGGCGAATGGCGTTATTATGGCCAGAGAAAATTTGACACAGTATTGCGTCACGTCGTTTGTTATTCAGTTGCAATCCCAGTAACCCCAAGTGGAAGTAAGTTATTCTAATTGCTGCAGATAGCGGAAGGCAAATATGAACCAAGCTACTATTGGCTCACAATAGTTTGCTAGTTTTCCCGAAAGCAAATATTTTTAGGAAAAGCCCGGGAAGCTGAGATCCAATCAGGCTGCACAGCATGCTCGTCACTTAAAAACTACACAGAAGTTGATCTTTGTCCGTCCGAAAAGAATTGCTCAGCTCCTATTCTGAAGTCTCTAAATGATACAGATGGCTGCAAGGATTTGGTGGTGGAATGTCCATATTCATCTTTGGCGCAAGTTTTCATAGTTTATCCTCACCACAATAAAAAAAAGCTTTTCCTGCAGGGTGCAACTCAAATCGGGTTCGAGTATGATTGTTTATTCGCAGGATGTCTACTGCAATGAAGTTTGGATTTATGATGACGGAAAATATTCTCATGAAGTGGAAGGCATGCTTTGTGTCAACAAAGGTAAAAGAGCAAACTTAAAAGACATTGACATTCTCATGCAAAACTTTGAGAACAACATAACGAGAAATATTCGAAATGTGCCAGCTTGTGTCCTTCCTTGAAACAAATATGCCCTGCGTGTGATGAAGTCGATGACAAGTTATCCTCTAAGTGTTCTTCAAGGCTGGATTGCGGATCGGGAGACAACGTCGTCATCTCAAGGAGCAGTAAGGTTTGTAATAATTCATACATAGTTAGACATTATGGTCGCTTACCGTTTGGTATGTTTTTTCTAAGCTCTGTGTATACTTTCAAACCTTTGGACTTTGTCCAGAGAAAATCTTACTGGACAAAATTGGATTTGGTCGAGGCTCAGAGTAATATTTTTGGGCCATCCTTTGAAATCTACTTTCCAATTTCTAGTCCATTTCTCCCAAAAAACTAACTCAAAAATCTAGTAAAACTACCATTCAGAGTTTTCGATTAAGAAGGTTCATGCTTTGAAAAGGGAATTCTCCCGGTGTTGTGATAGCAAATTTTTCAAAAAGAAATCTTGAAGTGCAATGCAATGCAGTATAAACACTTTATTTAAAATTAAAAACTTTGACGGTGTATTCATTTTCTGCTCTTGAAAGTTAATGTCTTATGGTTGGAGAACGAAAAAGCAAGAGAAAGAATGTTATCACACTTGAATAACTACAATGGTATTGGCCGCTCCAAGAGTAATTTCGCATTGTTTGACCAAGTGTCACGTCTGCTATGAGTACAAAAACGATCTTGATTGCACTCAAAGTTTTTTCATCTTTTTTCCAAAAGTTATCCTTTTTTTGCACTCCAAGCATTTGAACACACTGAATTGTAAGAGCGAACCCATAATTCCTACCATAGTAGAGTTCCGCCAGCCTTCTAAATTTTGAGACGGTTTCCTAAGAAATTTCAGAAAACGTATAGTTGCTACAAACACAATGGAACACGATTTTCTTCACGAAGTTTTTTCGTCACTTTTCATTTGCATAACATTTTTCAAAGCACTGACATTTCGTAATTCTTAACAAATTTAGTATGCTTCGCAAACTCGTTTCCAAGCCAAGGCGGAGAACAACACATTGCTGTTTTGCGTAAACGGAAGTTGGATACTGAACATTAACGAAACGGAGGTGAAATTAATGGATGACGAATTTATATCTTGTAAATCGCTAAACATATCCTCGCTTGCTAAATTTTAATCAACGATTGTGCATCATTTTTCAATAAATTTTTATAAAATTATTAGAACAATACTAGTTTGAAGGAGATGGTCAAGCATAGATAAATCTTGAATAATCTCGTAATCTTGGAATATCACCGTTTTCTCGACAGATATCAGAATATGTCGCCTCAGCCACAACTTTTCTTGTCACTTAATTTTTTATGTCAGAACATTATAGTACAAAATCTGTTTTAAAAAACACAGTCCTCGTAAAAAATTTTTCCAAATATGAATACGCCAGCACTGATTATTTGTCGCTAGCTTGATTAGCAAGATGGATTTTTTTTATCAAGTGAAAAGCTGCTTTGCTTTTGATAAACGCATTCCACATTGATGCAAAGTAAGACACGATCTAAGCAACTACTGAATAATAGTTAAAAACGGATGCCTTCATTTCATTGCCAACTGATGCTCAAAGGTGAATTAATGTTTAGAGCTTTTGGGTCCGAGTGACGGTCATGGTGAGCAATGTTTTCTCAAAATAGTCTGAAAGTTTGGAGTGAACGTGTATGATCAGATAATGTGAAGTTTTCTTGCAATCGCTAAAATACTTACTTTGTTACTGTCACACATTTTTTTGAAATAGTATTTTTCTCTTGTCTCGGTGAATTCGATGACATCATTTTTGGTAGAATAGAAATGAATAAGAGTTACAAAGATAGAAACGATTTACATGAGCAAATGAGAACTTACACTTTGATAATTTTTTAGCAAGTGCTGTGCATGGAAAGTCCGCTATAAAATTTCGATAATACCTCACATATTAGGTCGTGCCAAAGCCAAAGCCAGAGGCAAATGTTCCGTGCCCCGCGTTTGAGGTAGCGAGGTAGCCCGCAAAGCGCGGAGACGCAGAAGAGTAGAAGAGAAGGATCAGAGCCGAGGGGGCACTTGGCTCTGGTCGTAGATTTTAGCTGGGTCTTAACGAAACCTTGTAACATTATGTTCATTTTGATCGTATGGCACGACTAGAAGGGTTCACATAACTTCGCTAGCCTTGAATCACTTCTTAGCGAGATAAACTAGCACTTTTGTCCGCGATTTTCTGTGCTAGAGTTAAACTCAATTCCTCTGCTTTGCTGGGATATTTTCAGACATGAATCATACACGTACTTCATTTACATCAATTCCGATATAGTCATGATTTTAACATCTGGGGCGAAGCCCCGGATAGCATTTGCGTTTTTGGTAAAGTCTGTGTTCTTTTGTGTCGTTGAAAGTGAAGGTCACCAGAGTACATGGCTCGTATCGAAGGTGCAATCGTCTTTAACGAGCTCATACTGCAGAAGATTCTGTGAGCATAGTGAATATTTTCAATCTTGATTTCAGACGGCAAACGTCATCTTGTCCTGCAAAGCCCAATTGGAAGGTAGTAAGTACTCTAGTATACTACTCCTCAAATCTCGCTCTTCCAGATTATCATTTGTTGTGCTCTCTCGCAAACCTTACAATGATGCTTGATTTTGATGAGTATTAGGGCGCTTTTAAGACTTTTCCGGGACCAGGTGCGCTGTCGTTTGAGAAACTGGGATATAAAATTTGACAAAAGTAACAAAACGTCCATCGCGCCATACTGTCGTTATTGGCTGATTTTTGCTAGGATCTCCTAATTTTATTGGCCTACAGGGTCTTACGAGCATATAAAACTATCTGTTGCAGCTGAAATACACTCCTACAAAAAAATAAATTTCCTTATACTTTATTGCAAATTTCTCTTAATTGTCAACGGCTCCGCTCCTCAATTACTACTATAAATTAGCGTTAACAATGATGTGTTCTAGACAACACTTCTGTACCGTTCTGCACTGTATTGGTATTTTTCTTGTACGAGAAATTAACTATAATACAGTATCCTGCTGCTTAAACCATGATGAGCACCCGTGTCAAGAAGTTTATTGTCTATTTGTTCAGTGGCACCCATCGCAAAAGAACAGCGAACGGCTTCACTGTTGTGTTGAAATTTTTGAAAAAATGGAAAGAAATCGTGCCACTCAATGATGATGTACAACCGTAGCCAATTCAAAGTTTTTCTTTGTTACTCTTTTTCTTAAAGATTTTAGCTGCTGCAATGCATGGAATCATGTGGGTCGAAAAAACTTTACGTTTTCGAAAGAGAAATTGGCTTAAAATGAAAAAGAAGGATAGAAACCCATAAAGACAAAAAAGTCATTATGTTCAGGAAAGCAGAGAGGACGAACGCTAATGTTATAGAATCGTGTGAATTGTGTGCAAGTACTCGTTAACGATGTTTTTATGTTTAGTACAGTGCTAAGGCTCCAAAAAATTATGCATTCTACGAAAATGATAACACTTATCCGTGTGTCATCATAACGGACAGAAACAAAAGTTTGTTTGCCACGTACAGCTGAATGATAGCAGTTCATATGGTTATAAATCGTGGGAAAGTGCTTTCAGCTAGTTGTTGCAATAACTGTCAATTTGCATTCTTTGGAATAGGAATTCATAAGTGCTTTTCACCAATCTGGACGACAAAGAGCTTATAAGACTTTGTCAAACGAAGCTTGACTCTAAACCGCGCGGCACCCTGTATCTCCTAGGCTCCACTGTCACTATTTGTTTTTCATCTTTACTAAAATTAGTCTGATGATTGACCTATAAGAACGCTTATCGCACATCTTTGGTGATCTATTCAGCACTGAAGGCTTATGTACTTTAGGCAAGGTTTACAAAAACTTTGTATTGTTGTATTGGGCGGAAAGAGATAATTGTTTCTTAAATTTAGTTGTCAAACATGCTTTCAAACCATAAGAGTATCATGTACCCACCGAAGTGCTTGTTTTTCGCTAAATTCATCCGCACTTTGACTGGGGAAAAACAAATATGCCGCAACTTGATACACTTTAGCACGCGATTATACCTAAACGAGACTCCGCTTTCCAGGCTGTCAACTACAATGCCAATATCAATAGTAAATCCTGCTCAAGTTAACATATTTTAAGCATGCTGCACGATTCTGCCATGTGAGTGGTCGCAAAGTCTGTAATCAGTGTATTATATCCTCATATACAATTAGCGATAATAACCATCACAGTATATAGTGGCAAAGATGAGCAAACATTTGTTATGTCGCTGTCTTTCCTAAAGTTGCCGCCATGTATAAGACTTACATACTCACCCTTGTTAGTTGGACAAAAGTTGTCAATTTGCAGCTTTCTGTGTGGAATTTCTATCAAGGCCATAATGAAGTGTTGCAAGATTCTCAAAATAATTACGCACATATGGAAAACGAAAATGATATTTAGTCTCTCATTAAAAACATTCACATCTATAGAAGAAAGTTTAAGACCACATTTTTAAACCGCAAAAATTATTTGAAGTAGTCTTTGCCAGTTGTCAAAAGCTTGCAATTTAGAACTATCTTACTAGAAGCAGTGAAGAACCGAGGGAAGGGGTTTGAGAGTTGCTAAAAGTTGCTTAGGTGTTTTCATACTATCCGTACATATGTTTCGGAACAGTTCCAGCACGCGCACGGTTCGTGCGTGTGCTGGCTGTTTCGAAATTTAGGGATCAGTATTTATTTGTTTATTTATTACATCACAGGTGCACCAAACAAAGAGAAAAAACCATCTGGCACAGATTGATGTATCACCCATTACTCGTTGGAATGTGCAGGTCGTTCTTCTTCGCCGAAGGGTGAAGATGTCTCAACCGAAGTCCTGGACCCTTACCCAAACGCATCATATGGACGCACTTGTCGATTGATGAAGCGAACGCAAAAAAACTAGGACACCAATCTTAGTTTTGCTTTCATGAAAAGATCCTTTCTTGAGATTAACTTGACTTGCATGGCTCAAGTTCCAATATGAGCATATAGCGTTAGCAATCAATTAGGGAATTTCGCACGAAAGACCACCCTAGCCGATGGCGCGTAACTTAGACCACCCCTCGTCTGATCGCATCCTTGAGTGAAGGCAAATGAGATTACAAATGGCGTTTACAGAAGTCTGCATACTTGTGATGTAGCAGATGTCTTGCTTTGGAGTAGGGCTCCGAAAAATTCTCGGAGTGTGCGGCTGACGCAACGCACATCTATCAAAGAGTTTTTTGTCGATTCTCTTCCTCTTCCCTCTTTCCCCACCCCCCTTCAAATAGAAGTCTTGGGAACGCCACTGCATAGAGGACACATATGATAAAGCAAAAAACTGAGCAATTGTAAACATGCATGCTGTTTCTTATTTGCGTGTCTCGCTACCGCAACTTTGGAGACCACAACAGTTGCGTACACTGCTCATTTAAGACGACAGGTCCTGAGCCACCTTCAAAAAACAAGGTGTACACCGTGAATCTCTTACATTTTCTACAAATAGTTGAAAATGACTGATTGATGACTCTTTGATAATTCTTCCAAAGTTAGCCCGCAAGAGACACGCTAGCGGGAGTCTAGCCTACGGCGATTTGGGTGATTGCGTGCATTCAACTTAATCTGACTTTGAGATATGTCCGACAAGAGAGTAAACTGAAAAAGTTTTGTTGGCGTCTACTTTCTGATGACCATGACATGTTCAATACGTAGAAGCTATGGACTCACACGGATTATCTAGAAATAGATGCGTCAATGAAGAAAACAAGCTTATTTTCAATTGCCTTATATCTATTTAGTTTTGACAACACTTCCGCCTCCGATAACACTTCCACCACCGACAACACTTCCACAGTGCCAGTGTCCCTTAGATTTGTACAGCGACAGTCTCTGCCCTATTAATGGACCTTGCAACAAAGATCCCAAGGTAAGCTTTTGTTTTAGCTTTACGTAAATACGAATTCCGGATGTTCAATTAATGCAAATTTGTTCGCAAAGCGCCTTAAGAATGTTGACTGATATTCGCTGCTTCAAAGGCTTTCATGTGAAGTGATTCACCCATTTCAAGACTACTGCGAAATCAATCTCTGATTCTTTCGTGAACATGGAATGCCAAAAATTCTATCAAAAAATGCTTATGAATATCATAAATTAACAGAAATAGAACTATGTATTTTTCTAAGTGGTCCTATGTATCCCAGTGTCTTTGCAACAACCTTTGAGACGCGGTAACCGACCTTCAGATGCGATTTTTCAAAAAAGCAAAAAGTATCATGTCTAAGCTGCCTTTTGAAAGTTGCATACCAGTTCACAATTTTACGCAAAAAAAATGTCATGTTACAGCAGTCAGAACAAGATTCAAATTTTGCTATTCTTTAATATATTTGTAATCGCGTTTTTGGAAGTCAACAATAAGCAATAACTTTACAGATTTGTCCGTCTGGGAATCATCTTTATTTTTTGCAGTGCTGGTATGTTGTAAAAAAACGGTAAGTGTACAATGAGGGCGTAATTTCACACATATATCTTTATTTACGTGTGGGATGGGGGGCGGGAAGGGGAAGGAAATATCGAATGCACTGTCTACAATAGGTTGGGCACTTTGCACGGATTTGCTCTAAAATCTAAGGCACGCGCCATACTTGATCCTCTCAATCCACTTGATCCACTTGATCCGCTTCATTGGTCTATTTAGTAAACTGACCAATAATGAAGTGTTTGAGTGGATTAAGCGGATCAAGAGGACAGCCGCTTCGCTATTGATCGGTTCACTAAATCGACCAATGACGAAGCGGATCAAGCGGACCAGTGGATCAATCGGATCAAGTATGGCGCGTGCCTAACCAAAGCGGTTATCTAATGCGCTAACTGCAATGGTTACACGAAATGCAAGGTTTTGATATGTGCATCGTTAAAGTCTCTGCTTGGCTGTATCTTTTACGTTGTTAAGTAGCTTTTGTTTAAAGGGGTGGAGCCAGGAAAACGCGGTTTTCCCTGTGCACAGCTATTTCAACCTTACTTTGCAACGACTTCAACGATGCTACTGAATAAGATTACTTTTGACGGGAAATGGACTGACGCGTACCGATAAGTGGTTAGTTGCAAAAAAATTTGCTCTGTTTCTTCATCCCCAGCTTCAATGCCATATTTGCCGATGCTGTTTTCTCAAAAGCACACTTCTTCACCCTTGCAGCATTGACCTTTTCTTATCTCATTTCAACCACAATTGACCATGTAGAGGTACAGCTGAGACATCCGACATCACTCGATTAACATCGAAAAAGCACGACAAACTCAATTTTCCGTTTTATTCTTGTTGTAGATCGTTGAGCCGTTGACTTATATAAAGACAAAGATTTTCTCTATACACATGCGCGTATATGTCGCGGGTTTACTAGGATCAATCTGATAACCGGCCAACACATGAATATATCAAGATGCGGCGGGTAGGTCGCAGCAACATAAATCGCCTCAACCTTAGCTATCAAGAGCGAGCGAGTTTTACGTTACGTTGAACAGCCCTACAACATCTCCTTCCCAAGCAGTGAGTGGCCAGTGATGTTCATGCCGTTGCCACTGCCTTCCTCGAGAAGCGTGGTGTGTGATAGTCACGACGGCGCCGCTTACTTGATCCACTGCGCGTCTGGTTCGCAGATCGTCTCCACAGCTGGTCGTTTTCTATAAGCGCATCGTATACAGCCTCTCCGTAGCGTTTGAGGGTTGAGCTGGTTCTTTGCGGTTTCATTGCCTATTCTTTTTTCGGAGTTTTCGTTAGCAACGACAATGATGTCCTTACCTGATGCCCAGAGCAGCTTGGCAGGCAAGCGTTATCAGAAAGCAGTTGTGCAAGGCTTTCGTCGATAAGACTACAGAAACTCCGCAAGCTTTTCTGCCGTTCACCCCTCGTTAATTTTCTAGAAGGTCCTTTTGAAAATATAAACAAACCTCTCCATGTGTTTGTTTAATTGCAGATCAAATGGTGGTAAACGAGCATACTTGATTCCTCGTTCTTCACGGATCGACTCCCTTGCTGTAATTGCCTCCCGTTACCAGACACGATCACTCGCGGATTTCCAAATCGTGCGAACAGCGATCTGAGTTCTTTCAGGGTAGCTGTAGGTAAAGCCAGCGGCTCGGCAAAATTTGTTTTTCAGTTTCTGACCTTTTCGGAGCCTTTTCGCTATAAACCATATCTGAGCTTTTCAGCGCATGAAAATGGCAAAAATGCGCTTTTTTCGAAGCTTTCCAGGTCAGCCTTTAATGGAGAAGTGGGTGAGCCCGGAACGAAGAAGGCGGAGCGCGGCTTATCTGGCGTATCTTCACGCCAAAATCTTTGTCTTCATCTTCTTGAGAAAGCGCATTTTTGCCTTTCTTGCCATTTTTATGCGTTGAAAAGCCCAGATATGAGTTCCCCATGGCGAGAAGGCTTTGAAAAAACGAAGATTTGGAAAACAAAATTTTGTCGAGTCGCTGTTTTTAACGATGCATTTTGGCTGCATGCAGCGGCTCCCTAAGTTCGCAATGTACTTGTTGAAGCCCATCAGCATGCGAATCCTCTCGCGAGCACCTTTTTCCTTGTCATTCCAAGGTGTCTCATGTAGTTGATTCTCCCTATACTGTGGCCATGCTGTGCTGCTGCTGCTACGCTGACGACGACGCCGAGGTACAAGTAATCATACGAATAATAATAATAATAATAATAATAATAATAATAATAATAATAATAATAATAATAATAATAATAATAATAATAATAATAATAATAATAATAATAATAATAATAATAATAATAATAATAATACAAATGTCCGTTTTGTACTGATAAGTTCTTTCTCATAACTCTCCAGTTTCCCATTTCTTCTCTTGCTTGAGCGGCCTTGCTCCCATGCACATATCTGCAAAATAATTTCGTCCTTATGGGGTTCTTCATCCTTTCTCCGGGACTTGTAACACAGCAGAACCTTGAACGGCTCTCATATCTTTTTGTATTTGCTATGACGATGTTTTCGCATCGGAATGACCGTGGAAGAGCAAGTAGAATGAGCTTCCATCGCTGAAACCTGTTCGCTTTATACATGGGCACCATCTCCTTCGGTCCGAAAATGTGTAGCAGCGGCTTGTGATCGGTGAGCAATCTACGAAAATTACGTACTGCAAAAACTAGTGCTAGTCCTTCCTTCTCAATTTGTCCATAGTTCCTTTCTGCGGATGTGAGGCTTCGGCTTGCATGGCAGATAGCGTTTTATGTCCCATTCGACATCTTGTGCAAACTTACAGCTCCGATTTCGTAGTCCGATGCGCCGCAGCTACCACTGTAATTGATCGAAATGTGGAAAAGCAAATCGAAAACTAAGACTTTCTTGGCAAACTTTAATGCGTTTTGGCATTCCTTTGTTTTTCAAAATTTGTGTCATTCGTGAGCAGTGCGTACAACGGTGCTTCAAGCTGGCGCATCTCGGCCACGAATAATCCATAGTAGTTGATCTTGCCGAAGAATGAACGAACATCTGCTATGTTTTCAGGCGCTAAAATTTGCTGAATAACTTCAATCTTTTTTAAATCCGGTCGGAGTCGCTCTTGTCGATGTTGCAACCCAAAACATATGTCTGGTATCAGCAAGTTGCATTCTTCAATCCTGAAGTGGAATCCTTGTCCTTGATCCACTAAAACGTTTTGGCGGTGTCTTTCCTAAATCCTTACAATGGTGATGTCATCAAGATCAGCGGCTAATCCAATCCCGCCCATCATGAATCAATGATTTTTTGGTACATACTTGGTACCGATTTTATTCCGAATGGAAAGCAATTGTATTTATATAATCCCCTGCGTGTGTTCTCAGCCACATCTCCTCTGATGCTTCTTTGACTTCCACCCATAAATAGCTAAAACAGCTTCGGCTAGGACAAGCTGAGTAAGGAGCTGGCCTTCATTTCAGCCTCACATCCTCCGCAGGGGCAGTGGGTGCTGATGCAGTTGCAATGCATCGTTGAGTGTGGAGAAGTCGGCCATAGGCAAATCCTGCCTTTTATATTCTTGACACTTTTAGCACGACCCACCTAAGTGTTCTACAGCAGAAATGACTCCTTCGAATAATAGTCGATCAATTCTGTTTCGAGTTCCGGTGCTGTAGCGCATGGATCTGGTCTCCTATTCTTAAAGACTGGAACATCATCGCTCTATAAAGGCAGCGTCCAGGTAAGATCCATTCACCCAGATTAGCACATAATTGTAAAGAGGGGCCCATGAGTATCCGATCTGCGTTGGTCCGATTCTTTAATGTGGCCTCTAAAAGGAGATACAGGCCTGTGATACGTATCACAAACCACCCCTTCGTATCACAAACCACCCCTGAGGACAAGTGCTCACGCAGATGTGCAGTTGCATTGCAGTTGCACTGCACACTGCAACGCAACTGCATCCGTGCATTGCAGCTCCTCAAGCTGGCATGCAATGGGAACGAGCAATCCGAAACTCGTCCGCTCTTTGAAGAGAGGGTCCCCAAGAATCGGGTTTTTTGGGGGTTTTGAACAATTTAGACTTCACAACTGTAATCAGGGCCACGGAAAGGCCCCAGAATGGCAAAAACATGAGAGGCGAAATTTTGCCCGGAGCTACCTTCAAGATTAAGTTTGCCCTACTCTTCGTACACTTTCCATATCTTGTCCTTCACCATTTCAGGTCATTCCGAAAGTAATTTCGCCGCTGTTTTCAAAGGAACGCCATCTGAAAGGACCAAGATTTGTGAGAGATCTTGGTAGCGTTCGATGCAGAATATCATTCCTTTTTGACTGTTGTAAATTAATTGTAGCTCAAAAAGCTCTCGGAAAATCTCGGCGATCAATGCTTCTTGCGATGGCCAAATTTAGCTATTTTTCAATATTTTTATAAGAATCCTCTGAAGGAGTTCAAGAAGCAGATAAATAGAGCAAATCCTAAAGGATACAAAACTATCTTCTCCTCCTTTTTATAACTCGTCATATTTTTCTAATAGACTTTTGATTGGTTCTACAAATTTCTATTCTTGGTCAACTCAAACGTCGTAGAACATCACGATGAGCAGCTCGAGTGTCATTCGATGCGGCTTGTTCTTCTCTTTCTAATGTGTGTTTTTTGTTTCCTCTTCTTAGAGTTTTCGGATATAAAATCATCATAATTCATATTTTCGAACACGTTCCGGGTTGGGGCTGTACCCGGAAAATTGGAATTTAGATATATCGAATTCGTAAACTTTATTCGCTTTATAAAACTAGTGATAAATCAGAACACAATTTTGAAAGTTTTAGATTCCGAATATTTAGTGGTGTTTGATGCGAATGTGGCTGACGTGGGCCTGTCAAAATTCGATGGTTTCAGTAATAAATCGTTTAAGAAATTATTACGAGATATAAAAAAGAGAGAAAAGTTACGCCTTATCTTATGAGGTTTGTTCTATCGAATCGTTGCTTGGGCTCCTTTGTAGGATAATGTAAAAAGTTAGAACACTTCTGAAACTTGAGCATCTCAGAAAGATTGGGTCACAAATTTTGGTAATTTTCCATGAGCTCATTGATATCTGCAATCAGGGCTTTGTAGAGAGTAGGCAAGGTGTTATCAGAACATGATTACTCTTCGTGTTGATGCCACGCAAGATCATGATAAGAAGTTGCGACCTTCTAAAAATGAACTCTTATAGGGCCAGAAAATAACGTGCGCACTGTCTGATCTACGATAACTATCTCGCTTCATCTTAGATTTACAGTGCGGAGCGAATCTCCTACCTGTCTTCGGTACTCAGGATTACGCTATGAATTTCAGCATGCGGCGCCATTGTGAATTAGGCCGTTTGATAAAAAGATTTTGGAAAATTTTGTAGACTTATGTAGCAGATGAATTTAGCAGGTTTGGTCAGCCTAATATGAGAGCTTTTCGCTCATATGTTTCCTTCCAAAGCAAAATGCGAATTTTAATATCTCAATAAAATTAACAAAAACTTCTAATAATTTGAAAGTTCCGCTTTCTTTAAACCTGGGCATAATTCGTATAGTAGAAATATTTCTGCGCCAGACAGATTTGTTAGATGTTCTTTATTTCCAATCACGGCCTAACGTTTCGACGCTTTTCGTCTTCTTCAGAGGCCTGAAAATGGCTCAAAGCGTCGCCGTCAGCGTGTTCATCTTCTGGCATAGCAATTTTCACGGTAGGAATGTTGAACGAAGGTTGAAAATAGCTGTTATGGAAATGGTACTTAGTGGTTTCGTTTCTCGGGTGCTTTGAGCTATTTTCAGGCCTCTAAGGAAGACGAGAGGCATCGAAACGTTAGGCCGTGATTGGAAATAAAAAACACCTAACAAATCCGTTTGGCGCAAAAATATTTCTACTATAGAACTAACAAAAACGTTTTTTCGCAATCAACGAGCTCTCAGTCTACCACTCGCATGTAATTAAGCAGAATCAGATAGACAAAATCCCTGAATGAGCTTATTTTGATAAAACATGCAGTTCTAATAAGTTGAATGGCACTACAATCATAAATTCAAATTAAATCAGAGTTTTGGCAGCGCCGTGTGCCTAAGCGATAGCTAGGATTCGTAGCAACGCCAAAGCAGCAAACATTCTCAGAACTCGCAGTATACACAAGTACAGGGTGCGTCAAAAGTCTGGGAGCCAACTTAACCGTGTTGTAAATTACGGAACTACTCATGATTTTGATTCCTGTTTTATGCCTCATAATGCAACGATTATCCTCTTCAAAGCACAAGTCACCTAGCTGAAAGTGTTACCATGCGCTTTCATAAGAATTCGAATTACTAAACAAGTGCTTATGTGAAGCGAGAAAATCAAGATTTTTAGTAGCATTTTATCTTGTAGCTAGAGATACATTGAATATTCTACAGCCTTTTGATGCACACGTTGTAGAGGGGGCTTTGCGCTATCACTTCATAGTATTTCCGCTTGCCAAAAACTGTTCTTCCAAAAACAAAAGTTAAGGTTTGCGAATGTTGCCTGCGTGCCTAATGATCACCTGTCTCCAAAACAAATTTAAAAGTTATAGAATCGCAGCAAGCACTGAGTCCTGGGCTAAATTTCTTTTTATAAGTTTTACACATAAGCATCCAGTTAAATTCTGCCAATAGAGCAATTCTAGCAATTCTAAAACTTCTTACTCTGTGATTTTCCGTTTTTCTTCGCGCAATGGCATCCGAAATTTCCAGTATGCGAGTACACTTGCCTTTACTTAAAATTCAGAAATTTCTATTTCTAAATACTGCGAAAAATTGTCTTGGAATTATGATGTAGACAAAAGCTTGCTCTATCGTGCTGTATATTTGCTAAGTGAAAGAAGCAGTTATCGTGAAGACGTTGAACGAATCTTATTAGAATTACATGCATGCCACGACAGGTGGACTCGCTGCTTTAAAGGGCTCCTTCAAAACCAAAGGAGGCAATCCCAATATTTGAGAGCTGCGCTATATTTGTAAAGTATTGTTTTGTATTTGTAAACAAATTCTGTATTTGTAAACAAATTACATGTGCACCAAACTTTTTGTTTTTAGGTGCTTTCCTTCTGATTTTATCTGAAAGAGTGCTAGGCTGCCAGACTTTTGACGCACCCTGTAATGAAATAAAGTTAAAATAAACATGAAATAAACACTTGATTTACTCCAACGAATCTAGAAAGAAGATAGCGAGAATATTACAGATATATGAGATTTGCAGTGCACATGCGTCCTAAATTGTGTGCTGGTCTGGCGTCAAACAGCGATCAAAAAAGGTAAAAGTCACAGAACTTGCAACTTCACATGCACGACGCAATCTGAAAACAAAATAATGAGAAAATCAAGAAAAAAATCACCAGAAGCGCGCGCCCGAAAATTACCAGTCAAATGCAATTATCAATCTGCGCGACGGCTGAAGCCTCGGACTCTTTGTCCGCGGCCGCCTAGGCCACGCCCGCTATAGGCAGGGGACTCAAAGTTATCAAAGATCAAGCTGCACATCATATTTGGGACAACCTGTATCTTATATATAAAACTGAATGTGTGTCTGTCTGTCTGTACGTATGTGCGGAATAGAAATTTTCATTTCTGAACCGATTTGAACCAAACTTGGCACACATATACTTCGGGGCGGGGGCGTGTCATAGGCTACTTTTCGTTATCGATCAATATCGATTTTATCAATTTTTTGCAAAATTTGAGCTACGGGACTGGGAGTTGGCACAGGGGTAATCGAGCATGCTGATTACAAATATGTTATCGACAGGGCGGAGCCGGGTTTGCCAACTAGTAATTTATATTTTCGAAAAATTGTTAACTCAGAAGGTTCAAAAGACTGTGCTTGATAAGGGAGCTGTTTATTGAAATTTGTAAACAAGAACATCAGAGAGCTTTTTTGAAATCATAAAACCTTCCACGAATTTTTTAGGAACATCCACTGACATTTAATCGGTCTTATTTAGATTGCGTAACTTCGTTTGCAGCTTTCAGTGCTTTTTCATAAGCAACAAAGACGAAGTTATCGTTACCGCAAAAAGGTTTTTTTACAACCAGCTGCATCTTACCTTTCATTGTGTTGCCTCAATGCAGTTTGAAGAATTCTTCGAACTAGGAAGACATAAAGCACGCAGACAAATGATATAACGTTTCACTTCGATCAAATAACATTAATTCACAATATTATTGAGGTGGTTGTATACGAATCAGCTTTACTATGTATTTAGTCAAACCTAAACTGCCTGTCGCTAATCATGTTAAATTACTCTATTTTCAAGGCAGTTACATATGGTTCTCCGCCGTTGTGTCCATTCACCTTAAACTGCGAACAAACGGACTACGTACGATTTCAATATGCTGATGGCACTTATACAAATAACAGTGAGTTTGCACATGACCTGGAGACCAATCCTGTAGCTATGATGTAAGGCCAGTTAGGAGTAAGATGGTAAAATGTTACTATTTCAGTCAGGCGCATGGTTGGGGCTTAGAAATGCTAGCCAAAAACAGTTAAGCTAAACTATTTCGCGAGTTATTAGGCTGTAAACTAAGTTTTGCAAATGATTTCATAACTTCACTCTCTCTCAACAAGAGGCATTCAAATTCTGCCATTCTGTAGATTATTACGTAAGCTACAAGTACAGCTGCTATTCTGCCAAAATCTGACGTCACAATGACGGTTATGGTAGGTATATGGTATAAAGAAGAAAAAATTCAAAGTTTGACAGATTTGGCTGAAACTTGGCAAAGGAGTGTTATCCGACATGCTGATCACAAAAACGATAGTGAAATTGCGTGATAAGGGCTTTTTTATAAGATTACTGTAGGTTTACAATACAGGGTCTCACCCTAAACAAGGAAAGAGGCATTGATATAACAAATGAATATGATACTCGCGTTCGGCAGGTCAAATAACCTTACTATGTAAAGTCTCGGCGAAATTTGAGCTTCGGACTCTTTAGTCATTGACGGCTCTTGCGTACATCGACTCGTTTGACTTTGTGAAGGCGCCAAATCTCGACATGCCCCTAAATTTTGTCTTTCCTACTAGGCTAAGAAAGTCAACCTCCAGCACTAATTTGTAGACGAATCCGGATAACTGCGCATGGTCTATGCTGCTAAAGGCCTCATTTTACCTTGAAACCCCGAAAATTCACTAGTTTTCGAAAAATGCCTGAAATTTTTCTATTTCGTGTTCAAAATTTAGATAATTTGTGCATGCTTGTAGCACACATTGAGATCTACATATAGCCAAAGTTTGAGTGTGCCATATCCAAAGAGAGTGAAGTTATGAAGCCAGTTGCAAAACTTAGTTTACAGCCTAATATTTGGTGTTGACACTTACAACCGCTTTCACTTAGGGCAATCAGACTGAGGACCGCATGCAATGACATCCTCGATGAGGAGAAGAAAAAGCTTCATTTTCTAGAGTTCTAAACATCTGTATTTTTCGCTGTTTATTTATTTTGCAAGTATCATATCGAAAAGAAGCGAGAACTTGCACAAACCGCACTTTCCAGATTTTTGTATGATTCCATTCCCTTATAATCCCCGACGGCCAACCGTTTTTTCTTCAAAGACATTTTTCTTCTTTCGAAGTCAATGCTTCCTAAAATTGTACTGATTAACGAACCCAACAATGCTAACGAGGAAATGGTCAGAACTCAACTCAGCCATTCCAAACAATCTGTATATCATCGGACTTTTTTTTGAATGATGATTTCAAATATAATTTTATCTACCAAAAAACCACCTGGAAGGAGTTATAAGCATTCAAAGTTTTCGAGGCAGCCTGATTGCAAGGATTTACAGTTATGGCTATTCTAATCACAAGGAAGAAGCACGTTCACCAAAAACCTAAATACGTGTTTTTGGAAACCTAGTTCCTAGAACGTTCTTTGACAAATCACTCATATACACGCTCGTAACTCCTCCCAGGTAATCGCTTAGCAGATAATAAACCTACATTTAATCAGCGGATGATGATTGGTAAGGCGGGGTTAAGTTTTGACCATTCCCTGATAAGCATGTTTTTGCTGAGATCGAATGATATTGCAGTCATAAAACTTTCGATGAGGTTTTATCAAAATTCTCAATATCCTAATAACTCACTTCTTCTTAACAAAATTATGCTTAGAATGCTGGGCTAAATAGCCAGTACAACTTTGGTATGTTTTCATTATTTTTAAAGGAAGAAAACTGACTCTAAATAAAGAAATAAAAAGATGAGTTTGACGGTCTCTAAAAAACGTTTGGGCGCCGGCGACCATCAAGGGACTATACAAAAAGCTGGAAAATGTAATTTGTACGACTTCTTGCTCCTTTTCAATATCTTTATAGCAAGGGGTAGTAGAACTCGCGGATGGATAGAAATCAGGTGTCCAGTGCTTCAGAACATGAAGCTTTTTGAAGATGCGTTCTAGTTCTCAGCGAGATTGTTAATGCTCAAGACCAAAAAAGGATAAGTGATCATCAATCCGTGCGCGCCCAACCAATCATCTTTCCGAAGAAATCGCTTTACGGGTTCTAAAACGGGGTTTTTTTGTGGTTTTTGCGGATTTCCGACTTGATATGCGGAATCAAGAGTATGGAAAGGCCCTGGAACGGCAAAAACATGGAGGTCGAAATTTTGGGTGGACGGTGCCTTTAACGTCTAAGAAATTGAAGAGAAAAGGATACTTACAATTAGTGACCTTAGACATCGATAAGATGTTTACCAGTACCCGTAGACGGAAATCTATACCATTACCGTCTAAAAACGCTGGTTCTAATTCTTGCTTCCGTTTCTGCTAACTTCTTCTATAAAAAATTATGGGAAACTTCGCACCAAGTTTGGCGTTTAAGGGATAAGTTTTAAGGCCAATAATTAACATTGCGCTATGGTGTGGCGGTAAGTACCATTCTCTTGGAAATATGCAAATATAAATTCTAATTTTTTCGCGTTTTCGGTTTTGCATTGCCTTTATCAAGGTTCTTCTTATGACTGTGGCATTTTCAAGACAAGCACGTTTTTGAGTAGAGGTCAACCGCGCTGATACCCGCCGTTATCCGTCCAAAATCACCTGAATCCCTTAAAAGCCGAAACCTGCCAAATGAGAGAAGTGTTTTTCCCAGGAACTGGGTTCTTGAAATACGCATGAAATACCGCTTGTGAAGCGTATATATCAGTCACAAGTAACTCGACGGCATCCTCGTTTCGCTCATTTGGCAAGTTCCGGTGAGTACAGGCGCGGTCTGAGACCAACCTTACTCATCAAAAATTGACAAAGAATCATTCTTCCATTAGAGTGTTCCTATATTCACTGAAAGTGTTTTGGAAAATGGCATTTTAAAAACGATGGAATTGATGAAAAATTAATTGAAAGAATTTGTTCGCAATGACACATTTTAGCGCAAAGTGGTTTCTTATAGTTTTGTAGAGCAAAGACGTGCTTTACACCAAGGAATCCAAACTTATAAGAAAAGTTTGAAGCAATGCAAGGCTGAAAACCGCAGTTCCGATTGTACTTTTTTGGATTGCCAAACTTTGCGTGATTCCCCAGAAAATCTTCCAAAGAAACAATTAGCGGAAATGAAATCTATTTTAATTAGTGTTAGAAAAGTACGGTTTAATATTATCTGAAAAGGCCACGGTACCCAGTCTTTCTTTGTCCTTATGCGAAAAACATTCTAACTGCCAATATCAAACCAATGAAGGAAAACTTTTTTAACACAGATAGTAATCTGAAAACAGCATCACAGCCTTTCCATCACAAAGGTGCTTTAGGTAATTTGCTAAAGCACGTTAAATTGTGTGATCGAAACAGAGTAAATTTTGCTGGTGAAGGTTTTGGTGTAAAAAAGCCTGGAATTTCAAAAGCTACTCGATGTTTATCTGTGTTGGAACTTTTAACCGTTGTTACACCACAATGTTTTCTCTATCCGATCAGTTAAACTTCTATATCAATCTAGTCCTGCTAATTTACTGTAATTCACAAAAAACACCAGGATGTCACTCTATCGTAAGCAAAATGACCAACTGAAGTTTTAGAAGATATGACCTGTCTCTGAACTTTTGGGAAATTTTGAGAAAAAAACAGAACAGAGACCCAGTTGACTACAGAAATTTTACAAATTTACTTGACTCATATGACGGCTCATATTTTCTGTTCAAGAATTTATATTGTTTTTTGTCAAGAAGTGACAGTCGTCTCTATGATTAGAATCTTCTTCAGCAATGTTAAATTCAAGGAATTCCTTCACTCGTATCATACATAGACTTAAGCTGCTCACACAACCAAGCTATCCAGCGTAATGGGAAGTGTGGGGGGGGGAGGGGGGGAGGCGGAATTATATAGTCACAACAGACGTGAAACTCAAGAAAGTATGCATCGTGTAAATTAGGTTGCTGTTATTTCAAAAGCTGCTTCTTCTAGCTTCTACAAAAGTTTGCTTGTCTTGACAGCTTTGTATTAATGAAGATTGATGCGTTTTCAGTAAGGGTACGTGACTTTCGTCAGTCAGCAGATGTCCAGTGCGTCAATGGCGAATGGCGTTATTATGGCCAGGCAAAATATGACACAGTATTGCGTAACGTCGTCTGTTATTCTGTTGCCATTCCCCTAGGACTCGCAGGGTAGGCGCATACGGCACCATGAAGGATTTATGAACGAGCGACTGTTGATATTACTTTCATTATTTTTGGCTTATAACCCTCTGTTAACCTTGTAATACTAATGCTCGTTGGAAGCGCATAAAAGATGGTCAGCAGTGTTCCACATAGATCCGCACAGTCAACATCGATACATCGATAAACACAGATTTCATCAGACGAGCTATTCATGCTTACCTCAGCTCTATTAAATTGATCTTTGCTCGCCCAACGCTCCTCACTATTTAATAAAGGTACCCGCAGACAACTTATTGTTAGTTGTTTTGAAAACAGAGTTCGGGCAAATTTATGATTTGACTTCTTACTCAACCACAGCCCAGGTACAAATTTCAGGAAATTTATTTGAACTGCAATCTTATCGTTTTCCTTCTCACCTGGCCAATCAGCCTTCGAGGCAGTGTCCCGCCAGATTCACGCCCTGCGGCTTGTTGCTATGGTGGGGTTTCTGGTCATCTCACTACCTCCAGCCGCAGTCCGGCTGGATGTTACCCTAGGCCGAGAAAATAGCCCTTAAACCGGCTCAATTTCATCGTATAGTTTTCAAAAGCTAACAGTAGGGATGTGTCATTTAATCATGTCTTTTTCTTCAAGGTGATTACAAAAGCACTAATCATTGAGAAGAGTCGCAACTGTTCACGATTGTCTTATCAGGTTTCCGAATAAAATATAATTGAGTGCAGTATGAAATGTGGCGCAGCCCACTCTTCGCTTCCGTTACGTTTCCATATGAATCCGAAAAAACGTTTTTTATGATCAATTTACAATGTAACCAACAATGCCAATTCAGCCTGCTCTGCATCATAAACCAGGTCAAAACGTTGAAGGTTTTCTAAACAACTGACTGACCGTGAGTAAAGTAAAAGGTATGAGACAGCTTTCGTACCAGATTGTGACACTACCCATGTAAAAAATTACGCATTTTTTTGATAATTTAGAATTGAGCAATTTGTAATTTATTGAGTTTTTACTACTCGGAACTAAAAGTTTGCGTAAACGTCTCTGGTAGCCATTAGCTGATGCGTTAGCTACTTGAGCATTCAATTTTGTTGATTATGCAGAGTGAGGCAACGGTGGTGTCTTATTGAAATTGTCTAACGCCAAAAATATCTTTCCCTTCTGAGATCTGCGAGGGCTGAAGAACGAAATCGCAGTTCTCTTTGTAGCTTACAGAGGAATGGTCAGAAATCAAAGGTGCCAATCCAAAGAAGCTGCATGCCAGTAGATGCTGCATAGAACGCTGACTTCGTATCTGTATTCCATATCTGCGCGCCCACGTGGGGAGTTATGAGGCATCAAAGGCCGTTATTTTGCTAGGACATGTGTGGAATCTTTTCGCAAAAAAAGTGCTCACAACTTCGTTACTAAAGGCTTTAAGCAGATAAGTAGTACAGATTCGAAATTAGAGTTAAGTGCTGCATCGAATGGTAGGCAATTTGCTTGGATTAACCACTTCTTTTGGCTATTCCCCTGTATGCTTTGAACGGCTTTTCATGGACTTTATTTGCAAACTAAAAAAGTACTGAGAGCACACAATGACAGTGACAAGCTAAAAAAAAATAAATCTTGGCATAGTTAGATCTTCTGATCGATTTCTTTAACAGCTTCGAAAAAAGAAATTGGTACTATTTTTTCCACAATATACAGACTTACCTCTCGGCAAACTCGCCTCCTTCAGAGTCTTAACAGATAACAGATTTGATGGGATTAGAGCACTTATCTTCTGATTGATTTCTTCAGCAGCTTCCAAGATGATAACTGATAACTCGTGATAACTACACCACTGATCTCGCTGAAACCTTTCACCGCATCATAAAGCACTTCCTTTGATCGATATCATTGAAATTATGTTCGTTTGGTATAGCAACGATTTTCAGTTTCTAACATGCTGTTTTCCAAATTTTTCGTTCTAGACAACACTTTTTTATAAAGGACATTTTCTTTTTTGTAATTTCGAGAAAAAGCAAAGAATAGGTCATCAGAATGAGTTTTTTGCTGAAATATCCTAATATTCACTTCATAGAATTCTATTAGTAATTCGTAATGTTGCTGTACCACGAACGAATAAGTTCTTCGTGAGTACTGGCAGTGAGATATGGCAGGTGGCATCATCTATCAACTATAATAGCTCGTTAAATTCAGCTATTTTTGGTATTCCGCTATTCATGCAAGAGTAAAAGTATATGGCTTAGCGAACAATGCTGAAAGGAGAGCAGAGGTGCAACAGAAGTTTTACATATGGAGCTTTGTTGATGTTCACTTCGGCTCAATGTTTTGTGGCTGTGAAGCATCAAGACAATTTCTTAGTATAAAATATTCTTCAGAGCGAAATCCAGACGCGTAGATTTCTGGCCAACAACTTTCTAGCAAAGCACATCAAAAGAAGCAGTGAGTCACATTGCCTGCTATGTAAAGACATTCTTCACATTTCGATGGCGGGAGCAATGCTTCACGAACCACTATTCATTCCAAATTATGTTTTCATTGCGTTCTCGCTTTAACACAGAGTTTTCTGACGTTGTTTTGGAGTGTCACAAATGTAGACGCCCTCAATGCAAATTTTCAACTCGACATGTACTTTAGTTGAAAACTTTACTTGCCTTGTTTCCAGTACAGGCTAGTAGATGTATGGTAAATGTAATGTTCTGCAATATTGAAGTTGGGTGGCAAAAGTCGCCCGTGAACGCATAGCTACGCCTCAAATACAGTACCACCTAAATGTACAAGGGCAATGTCGTTTGTAAAAAGCGAACTTTAACTAAACTTGATTGTATGATCTATAATGACTAGTGCAGTGAGGCTTGACAGTAAGATAACGCAGAAATGCTTAGGAAGTGGACGGCATCCATGGACCGAGCGAAGGCCAGGACAAATACTAGAAGCATAAGCCAATTTACGCGAAGTGTTACGAATGAGACAAAAAGCTTGAAATCTTCAACTTGTATGTTACATTCGAACAGTGCCCTGCATGTCATGAACATAATGACCTAATGTATACCAAATGCACTTTGAAGTACGAGTGCGGTATGAAAAGTAATGCTATCGCTCAAAGAAAGGGTTCTAATAATAAACACAGCCACAGCTTTATTTACAAAAAGCAACATTTTTATGCTCATTCTTTACGCTAGAAAAAATAAAAACAAAATTACACTCGTGTTACAATGCAATCCAATCACTTCTTACTGCGTCACCTTGACCCAATGTGAAGAGTTATGCTACCGGCAAAAAACAATTTTAAGAATGAATTAAAATACAATCACTACTTGCTCATAGCTAGTTGCTCAGAACTTTTGTACTCAAAGTTACGGAAGTTTTGATAAGTTTGATAATTTGCTGCGCATCACTTTCACTTTTTCAGATGATTGAAAAGGTCATTAGTGTTCTCAAAATAATAGATTGTTATCAAAGGAAATTCCTTTCCAAATGATTCAAGCTTGTTTTATTTTCCTAGTGAACCTATTGCATCATTTGATAAAGCAGATCAAGCTGTACAAAAATCAGCACTAAGGATCTGCCTAAATCGCATTTTATGTAAAGTTTGAAGCTAAATTTTCAGAAAAAATTTATCACCAAATTAGTTTTTTTTATATTATATAGAAGGCACATAGTAGCACTCAAATATGCCTTTACTGAATCTTTCATCGCAGAGAAATCGAGAAGAAAAGAGAGTTTGAAAATGGCAAACTAGGCCCCCCCCCCCCCACGTACGTCATAGTGCATGTGCTCTTATAATTGAAAAATACTAAGTTTTACATGAAAAATCTCAAAAAGTCGCGTTTTGGCATTTTCGGGCCATCTTATTTCTGAGCTCCGAAAAAATACACTAAATCATCATTGTCCAATTTGGAAGTCCGTAAAAAGTTTTTGGAACAAGATCCAATTTTTGAGGTAGCTGAAAAGCTTTGATTTTCAGCTCCAAAGTTTATCTGAGTTACGACTTAGATGGATCCTCGGTGGTCTTTCCCTAAGCCTGCCTCGCTCTATCACAAGGTACCCTAAGAACAGCTCAATTTAGTTGAAGGTGGAGTTTTTGAGACAACCTAATACATTACCGAACATGACGCTCATTTTTGAGAATTTGTGTTATATTAAAATTCATTTCGAATTAGAGGGTATGAGACCATAAGTTGTCACTTTATTGAGATTATCACCCCCTTTTCGTAGGATGCGCTAGGGAAAAGCTGAATTCAATGCTACTATGATCTAGGCTTTCATTACAAGTTTTTTTGAAATTGAGCAAAATTGTTCAAATAAAAAACAAAAGTTCCTTCGTGCATCTGTGTTGCTCTGACACTGATAGTTTTAGACCGTTCTGTGAGTCCTTTTCCAAGACACGCTGACAAAATTTCGTTCAATAAGTTGCACATTATCGACGCGAAGGCGAAAGCAAGAACATACACCCTTTAAATTATTGTTCTATGATGACTAACGCCATCCTGAAAGATCAAACTATCTGACAGCCACTAAACAAGATGGGCAGTGATTTCACCCTAATGTTTCTTGGCGCTAAATCGGTCTCAATGACACTCCAAACTAAAGCGATTTTTCTAGGCTTCTTTTTTTCAAAATAAGTGCTTGTTTGATAGCACTTTACTGCCCTGCTGCTGATAAGTCTTTCCAAATATGGCCATCACTAATCTGACGCTGGCTTGATTAGCAAGATACAGATCTACAAAATATGACATAAGGTCAGCTTTATTTTTGATAACAGCTTTAGCGGTTGCGAAAGGCAAAATGTGATACTAGCTATTTGTGCAATGCTTTCAGCGCATGTCCGCGGAGAAAAGTAAAGGCAGTGTTTAGGCAGAATCTCAATTTCTGCTTTTTTTGCTCATCCACGCCTTTTCATGGCGGAATCCAAATATTGCACCCAAAATGCGTGGATTCCTCAAAAAACTCAATTTCTCAAAATTCCTTTTCCCTTTCTGAGGACAATTTGTAAAAGCCGTGGACAAGTGCTCTTAATGATATCCTGGTCGAGATCAAGCGTTTAACAGGTAGATATGTTTGACTGTGTTGCCACGTAAAAGCACGTCCAGGATTGAGGAGAGTTCGTTCAAGGGGGCGGGCCGTGCGAGGGAGTGGGTGTGGTCTTCGAAGCTCGGCGATTTTTGCGCCGATTTTCTTTCTTTTTTTACAGTAATGTTTGAAAGTCGGACTTGCTCTATAGTTCTAGAGATTGAGGCCCCAATACTGGGCTATGACATTCTCCGAAAATGTCCAAATATGCCCGAACGCTGCCTTTAAGGAGCCCGAACCCTTTATTTTCACTCTAAAAGAAAACGCAGAATTGCTGGTATTGTTATGTTTGAAACCGGATAAAAAAATATTGATTAAACCCAGAAATTTCAAGCATCAGAAAGTGTTGCAGCAAACAGCATGATAGAGTTTTCCTTTGCGAGTTGACACTTTGAAGAATTGATATAAAAATGTAAATTTCAAGGTGTGCAACGGTTTTATTATCGTGAATGCATTTTCTAGAAGAAAGCTTGATGTAGTTTTAGTAGCATCATTCAAAAGTTTATGTTCCTGTAGCAATTTGCAAGAGTATCATCAAGATCCTGTTCAGCGCATAAAGTTTTGGAAATTGTTGCTTCTTCTCAATTGAGCCAATTCATTTGTTCAAAGGCAACGTGCCTTAACCACAAGGATAAACACGGAAGAAAATGAGGAGCAGGCACCATTTTTTTAATTAAAAAATAGACTTGTGTTTTAGTGAATAACTTTTTCTCAAATTGAATAACATTTACCTATTCACTATAACAATTTGGTATCAACAAATAACGTGTGCACTTCATGGCCAATCAGTACCTCGTTGGTGTTTTTCTTGAGTGGAACTATCAGTCGTCGAGTACGGTATTCTGATCAATCCTGCCGCGAAGAGTACGGTAAGGTTTGGAAGGTAACTTCTCGATTGTTTTGTCATTTTCGAATAGTTTAAGCTCGCGCTTGGTCGTGATATTCAAGCCTCCTACAAAAAGCTCTTTATTTGTACACTGCTTTGCTTGTTTAACATGAATATCAAATTACTATATCTGTGTAGTAAAATCCATCACGCCAGCGAATGCCTTATCTCGGTAATCTGTGTTGTAGATTAAACTGCGTCCACGGATGATGTACAACCGTGGTGCTGAGTTTTCTGTACCACTCACCTTTATAAGTAATTTTGCTCCTGCGCCAATGCATTGAAAAAGGACAAACCAAGTAGTATGTGCCCTACGCCTTGAGGAGACAAGTTGGCTTTCAATGGAAGAGAAGGATAGAAATTCATGAAGGCGAAGTGCATGTGAAGAAATCATGTTCGAGAAAGCTGAGAGACAAATGCTGATTTAGAAAAAAAATCGTGTAAGACGTATGTATAAAATTAACAAAATTGTTATTCATTCTCGTTATCACTTATGCTGTGCTAAGCGTATCAAAAAGTATGCATTGTACGAATTCAACTGAAAAGCGTATTAATGTGCATTCATAGCGGACGCAGCCATACACTCTCGCCTGTTCGCCATGCTTATGCAAAACATTATTATAATTTTTTCAGTCTTGAATCGTTGGAAAACAGCTCTAGTTGTACATCTTCAATACGGCACTTTATATTCTGCGGAAAATTCATTGGCAATAGTTACCTACAGCTGCACGACAGAAAGTTATGAAACTCTTTTTAACGACGCCTGGCTTACGTCGCAGTTAAACTCTTGGATTTCGTGTCATTTATTTGTCTTACTTGTCGGCGTTTCTTCTTTGAGTATAAAAAATTGATAAGAGCGCTTACCATAGGTATTTGTTTACCTTCTAAGTAGTTATGTTCATATGAAGTTAGCAGAAAGCTTCAATTGTTACTACCATAATTTGAGTTTCTTTTGGGTTTGTTTAGGCAAGCACTTTCTTAGCAGAACCTTGCTTGTTACTGCCGTTTCCATGCTACTCATATCTCAAACAAGAAAGTCGGTAAAGTAATCGGAAAAGGCAGGTATAAAAGTTTTTCTGTACACCACGATTACTGATGGTTCTCACAAGTGTCCAATATAAGTATGTAGAAAGATAGCCATAGCCTGTACCACATGGACATAACCTTTTAAGAATCAGTTCCTACCTATTTAGCTTACTTACCAATCTAATTTGAGGATCTCTTCTTTAACAGTTTTAAAAATAAACATCAGCATTACAAGAATGACATACTGTGTTCAATGGACACCTTAGAATTGCCCAAAGCAGAGAGTGGGCTACCATAACTATGCATACACTGTTTGATCGTTGAAGGCACCGTTCACTCAAATCCTCGATTTTGGTTGTCCTTTTCAGCACCTTTTGTGCTCGCTGAGTCCGGAAAAAAAATCAAAAAAAAATCCAGGCCTCAAGTTGAACAGTTTCAACTGATTGATTGGGCACCCTTCAGAATTCGCAGAAGACGAGCACTTCTTGCGCCTTTCATCAGCCGCGGGCCAGTTGTGCGCGTAAGGCAGGGCAGAGACGCATTCTCGCATGACTCGACCAATTTTTTGAGCTTTGCGCCTGCTAGGCGAAATCACGGAGTGGGCTGGCGAACGTACCACCCACACTCCGTGATTTCGCCTAGCAGGTGTTGCTAGGGAGCAGCCAACGTGGCGAAACCTTCTTTCGAAAAATTCTCCAAGCGATTTTCTCGCTTTAGAAGTAATTCCAGACAGCGCGAGCTGGGCAGTTACACAGTTGAAGAAACTGTTAGGCAACCGTTAGACATCGAAATTCATAGACCCATTTTGGGTGGACGGTGCCTACAATATCTCTCTCCACCACAAGTTTTTTGCTAACCTTCAGGCACTGTTTGGTAGAGTTTGCTTTAACTCAAATCCACAATATGGAACGAATTACCCGATCATTCTTCATTACTGTAAGATTAGGATAGGGACTTAGTAACAGTTTTGAGCCATTGAGGGCCCTATTTTACCTCACAAACCAAACAAAAGAACCTAAAAACTTTTACACTAAGCTAATTAGAGTAGCTGAAACAATATGAACTTCGCAAATGACCACAACTCTTCTTTTATATTGCCAGGTAGACCGTAATGGTTGTCTTTATAACGCTCTCTGAAACTGTGATTACACCATTTAAAAGGCTTTACAAACTCCTAAAAAGCTGAGTAGTGAATTTTACACGCGTCTTATCCCTGATACAATAATTTGCAAAATGTCAGAAAACTTTTTCTGAATTATGACTAATCCACAAAGACGCTGCAAGTCTAAACTTCCTACCACAATCTTACACTAATAAAGATCAAGCGGTTCGCTTTGATGTACATCTAAGTTTAGAAAAAGCTCTACAAAATGATACTTCAAGGCAAACAAAAGACCATTTTAAAGAAGAGATATTAGCGATCAAAGTGTGTATACATACTTTTGGGACACCCTGTATTTCAAGCAACGAAACATTTGCCAACCAAAGTAATTCAAGCGATCGTTTATATTCTTTTCCCAGCTAAATTCGCGTTTGAAAACACTTGAAAGGGTTAAAGAAAGATGCATTGAAATCATTGCTAAAAACGACCAAGATGTTTTGATAAGCCGTTTGGTGTTTTGCTTTTATAAAAAAAATCGCTGAACATCTTGAGTTATCAAATGTATCGTAAAACACAGAAAATAATTTTGAAAAAAAAAACATGTCAAAATAAGAATAAGCGTGTTGATTTTTATATTGGCACGTAGCAGAGAGACAAACCTCACACTATACATAGGAAAAAATTTTCTAGGCTAAAGCAAATATCTTATGAGACCATATTGAAAAAAATGGGTCCTCATAAGATAAAAAGTAAAACCTCTGCCTAAAAATTTTCTTGACTAGAACATTCAACACAGGCTTTGCTCATCTAAAAAGTGGGTCACAAAACTTTTGCTATTTGTTGCAATCCCTAAGTTTCTTTGGAATTATCTCGAAGTGGTCTACTCAATTTACTTGATTCACTTTTTGGAACCCGAGTCTATGAGTCACTTGAAGTCCAGCTATATTACGATTTACATATTTTCCTCTTTTCAAAAAATCGAGTTTATGCATATCTCATTACACTCGAATACTACGACTTTGCACCGACTGCCTCACTACAATTCGATACCATTTTTCAACTCGTCAAATTGAAGGATAACATGCTATACATTATTGTGATCTGCTCTAAGTCAAGGCGGTCGATCTGCTTCGGAAAGAAGAATACCACAGTCTGCTACTGCAACAAATTTCGCATGTAAAAGACACTTCAATACAAAGGAAACCTACAGGAAACGGTTTTCAGAAGACGTATAGATGCTATAAACACAACAGAACACGATTTTCTTCACAAAGTTTTTCCGACACTTTTCACTTGCATAACATTTTCCAAAGGAATGACATTTTGCAATTATTAGCAATTCAGTATGCTTCGCAAACTCGTTTCCAAGCCAAGGCGGAGAACAATACATTGCTGTTTTGTGTGAACGAAAGTTGGATACTGAACATTAACGACACGGAGGTGAAAGTAATGGATGATGAACTTATATCTTGTAAATCGCTAAACATATCTTCGCTTGCTATATTTTGATCAACGACTGTGCATTGTTTTTCAATAAATAAAATTATTATGATAGAACACTACTAGTTTCAAGGAGACGTCAAGCATAGATAAAATCTCCTAATCTTGAGATACCACCGTTTTCTCGCACAGATATCAAAATATGTCGCCTTAGCCCCAGCTTTTCTTGCCAATTAATTTTTTTTATGTCAGGATATCATAGTACAAAATTTTGTTTTCAAAAACACAAATCTTCGAAAGAGGTATATGGATTAGCCAAAAATCCAGATGTATAAAATTGCTTAAACGTATTCCAGGTTTTGCCGTTTAATTTGTCTCAATGACATTCAGAAGGGTAACGACTCAAGTTGGCACCTTCTCGTGCATAATGTTTCTGCAATCAACAATTTGATATTTCTAGTCGCTGAGAGGAACTTTTCCCTAGTCGCTGAGAGGAACTTTTCCAAATATGCCATTATTCGTCGCTAGCTTGATTTGCAAGATGGAATTTTTCATCAAGTAAAAAGTTGCTTCGTCTTTGATAAATCATTCCACATTGATTTGCAAGGTAAGAAACAATCTGAGCAACTGCTAGAATAACGATGTTGAAAACGGATGCCTTCTTTTCACTGCGGACTGATGCTCAAAGCTGAATGAATTGTTTACAATGAACAGGAAAATGTGTTTGGAGCTTTAGGGTCTGAGTGACGGTTATGGCTTAGAATGTTCTCAAAATAAGCTGAAAGTTTGAAATAAACGTGTATGATTAGATAATATGTAGATTTCCTGCAATCGCTAAAATAGTTATTTTGTTACTGTTGCACTTTTTTGGAACAGTAATTTTCTTCTTGTCTCGGTGGATTCGTTGACAATATTTCTGGTAAATTAGAAATAAATAAGTGTGCTCAAATTACGGAAATAGAAACGATATAAGATGAGCAACTGAGCATTTGAACTTTGATAATTTTTAGCAAGTGCTGTACGTGAGTCCGCTATAAAATTTCGATAACACCTTACATCTAACCTGTGCCAAAGCCAAAGCCAGAGCCGAATACCCCGCGCCTCCGCTTTTGAGGGCGAGGTAGCGCGCAACGCACAGAGACGCAGATGAGTAGAAGAGAAAGATCAGAGCCAACGGGGCATTTGACTCTGTTCGTAGATTTCAGCTGGGTCTCAACAAAACCTTGCAACATTATATTCATTCTGATCGTCATGACACGACTAGAAGAATTCACACAACGTCGCTAGCCTTGAAGCACTTCTTAACGAAATAAACCAGCACTTTTGTTCGCGATTTTCTGCGCTAGAGTTGAGCGCAGTTCTTTGATGGCTCTCCTGAGTATTAAGAATTCAATAGCAGTCTAAAAAAAGGTCAGCTAAAAAAAGTTGTCCTGAATACTATGAAAATGTGAACAAAAATCTCGTAGCACACAGAAAGATAAAAACTCAATTACTCTGTTTTGCTGGGATGTTTTTAAAATCACTATACGTACTTTATTTGCATCAGTTCCAATATAGTTATAATTTTAAAATCTGGAGAGCTAAGCCCCGGATGGCATCTGCTTTATGGTGAAGATTGTGTTCTTTCGTGTCGTTCGAAGTGAAGGTCACCAGAGTGCATGACTCTATGCATTGAAGGTATGGTCGTCTCAAACGGCTCATACTGCAGAAGATCCTATGGGCATAGTGAATATTTTCAATCTTGATTCCAGACGGCAAACGTCATCTTGTCCTGCAAGGCCCAACTGGAAGGTAGTCTAGTATACTACTCCTCAAATCTCGCTCTTTCAGATTATCATTTGCTCTCTCGCAAACTTATAATGATGCTTGATTTTGATGAGTATTAGGGCGCTTTTAAGACTTTTGAGACTTAAGACTTTTTCGGGACCAGGTGCGCTGTCGTTTGAGAAAATGGGATATAAGATTTGACAAAAGTGGCAAAACGTCCGTCGCGACATACTGCCGTTATTAGCTTATTTTTGCAAGGATCTCCTGATTTTATTGGCCTACAGGGTCTTACGAGCTTATAAACGACCTGTTGCATCTGGAATACACTCTTACAAAAAAAGAAACTTTTTTATACTTCATTGCAATTTCCTCTTAATTGTCAACGACTCCATTCCTCAATTATTATATAATTTAGCGTTAACAATGATGTGTTCTGGACAACACTTCTGTACCGTTCTGCACTGTATTGGTTTTTTTCTCGGATGAAAAATTAACAATAGAGTACAGTATTCCGCTCCTTAAACCATGATATATGAGCACTCGTGAAGGAGCTTATTGTCTATTTGTACAGTGGCACACATTGCAAGACAACAGCGAACGGCTTCACTGTTGTTTTAAAAAATTTTGAAAATGGAACGAATCGTGCCACTCAGTGGTGATGTACAACTGTAGCCAATTCAAAGTTTTTCTCTGTTATCCCTTTTCTTAAAGATTTTAGCTGCTGCGATGTGTAGAATCATGTGGGTCGAAAAATCTTTGCGTTTTGGAAAGACAAATTGGCTTAAAATGAAAGAGAAGGATGGAAACCCATAGAGACAAAGAGTCATTAAGTTCAGGAAAGCAGAGAGAACGAATGCTAATGTTATAAAATCGCGTGAATTGTGAGCAAGAACTCGTTAAGGTGTTTTTATGTTCAATACTTCGCTCAATACACACTTATGGAGTGCTAAGGCTTCAAAAAATTATGCATTCTACGGAAATGATAACACCCTTATCCGTGTGTTATCGTAACGGACAGAAATAAAAGCTTGTTTGCCACGCACATGCAACTAAACGAGAGCAGTTCATACGCTTATAAATTGTGGAGAAGTGCTTTCAGCTAGTTGTTCCAATAACTGTCAATTTGCATTCTTTTGAATAGGAATTCATAAGTGTTTTTTTACCAATCTGGACGACGAAGAGCTTATAAGACTTTCTCAAACGAAGCTTGACTCTAAACCGCACGGCACTTTGTATCTCCTACGCTCCACTGTCACTACTTGTTTTTTTTTATTTTTACTAAAATTAATCTGATGATTGACCTATAGGAACGTTCATCACACATCTCTGATGATCTACTCAGCACTGAAGCCTTATGTACTTTAGGCAAGGTTTGCAAAAACTTTGTATTGTTGTATTGGGCGGAAGGAGGTAAATGTTTCCCAAATCTAGTTGTCAAGCATGCTTTTAAACCAAAAGAGTTTCATATACTCACCGAAGTGCTTGTTTTTCGCTAATTTTTTCATCCGCACTTTGACTGGGGAAAAACAAATTTGTCGCAGCTTGATACACTTTAGCACGTGATTAAATAGAACGAGACTCGCTTTCCAGTCTGTCAACTACAATGCCAATATCCATAGTAAATCCTGCTCAAGTTAACATATTCCAAGCATGCTGTACGATTCTGCCATGTGAGTGGTCGCAAAGTCTGTAATCAGTGTATTATATCCTCATATACAATTAGCGATGATAACCATAACAGTATATAGTGGCAAAGATGAACAAACATTTGCTATGTCGCTGTCTTTCCCAAAGTTGATGCCACGTATAAGACTTACATACTCATCCTTGCTAGTTGGGCAAAAGTTATCAATTTGCAGCTTTCTGTTCGAAATTTCTATCAACGCCATAATGAAGTGTTGCAAGATTTTCAAAATAATTACGCATAAATGGAAAACGAAAATGATATTTAGTCTCTCATCAGGATTCACATCTGTAGGGCAAAGTTTAAGACCACATTTTCAAAACGCAAAAATCATTTGAAGTAGTCTTTGCCAGTTGTTAAAAACTTGCAGTTTGGAACTATCTTACTAGAAGTAGTAAAGACCCGAGGGAAGGGGTTTGGAAGGGAGCTTCGAAAATGGGTGTCGAAACAGTTAAAAGTTCCTTAGGCTGGGTTCATACTATCCGTACATATGTTTCGGAATAGTTTCAGCACACGCACAGTTCGTGCGTGTGCTGGAACTGTTTTGGAATTTAGGGATCGGTATTTATTTATTTATTTATTTATTACATACACAGTTGCATCAAACAAAGGGAAAAAACAATCTGGCACACATTGGTGTATCCTCATTACTTGTTGGAACGTGCAGGTCGTTCTCCTTCGCCGGAGGGTGAGGAAGTCTTAACCGAAGTCCTGGTCCCTTACCCAAATGCACCGTGTGGACGCATCTACCAGGGCTTGGCTGACCAGCTGAACCTGTAACCGACGAATCCGTTGGGGACCCTGGGCGAGTGGGAAGAGGAACCAGGGCTCGGCACAGGTGGCTTGCAAGCAAGTTGGGTATCGTTTTTGGGACAAAAAGCAAAGGGGGTTTCGTTTTTGTGGACGAAGACGCGCAAAATTGGCGGCGTTTTTTTTAGTCGACGTTTCGTTCTTTGGAGGATTTTTGGGGAATAGGGGGGTCAAAGGGGATTTCGTAAAAATACCCAAAAGTCAAGGGGGACTTCGTTTTTTGCATTTTCATCTAGCCACCTCGTGCCGAGCCCTGAGGGGAACCTCAAGGAAGAGAGTTCACTGGGTCTTCGGATTCCTCGAACGGCTGTTCCAAGCAAAGTCATTGTCAACAACATTCAAGGCAATGTCATATGATAAAGCGAACGCCAAAATGTAGAACACCAATCTTAGTTTTGTTTCAATGAAAAGATCCTCTCATGAAATGAACTTTACAATTTCCAATATGAGCATATAGCGCTAGCAAAATCAATCAGGCAATTTCGCACGAAAAACCATACAATTTCCAATATGAGCATATAGCGCTAGCAAAATCAATCAGGCAATTTCGCACGAAAGACCACCTTAGCCGATGGCGCTTGGCCTAGACCACCCATCATCTGATCGCATCCTCGAGTAGAAGCAAAAGAGACCACAAATTGCATTTACAGAAGTCTGCAAGTAGTTGTAAGGTAGCAGATGTCTTGCTTTGGGGTGGGACCCCAAACAATTCTCGGAGTGTGCGGCTGACGCAACGCACCTCTATCAAAAAATTTTTTGCCGCTTCTCTTTCTCTTCCCAAACTTTTTTTTTGAAGAAGTGTTGGGAACGCCAAGGCATAG